TTTGAGGACGAGGCCAGCCTGAGCCAGCACCGGGCAGCACATGGTGAGGAGCGTCCGTTCCGCTGCGGGCGCTGTGGGCGCAGCTTCAGCTGGAAGGAGAGCCTGATCATCCACCAGCGCAGCCATGCGCAGGAGCGCTCCCACAAGTGCCCGGTCTGTGGCCGCAGCTTCAGCCGCAGTGGGAACCTGCTGGCGCACCAGCGCGTGCACACGGGTGAGCGGCCCTTCGCCTGCCCCCAGTGCAACAGGTCCTTCTGCAACAAGGCCAACCTCATCACCCACAAGAGGCTGCACCGCCGCTACCGGACTTTTGCCTGCTCCCAGTGCCGCCTGGGCTTCAGCTCCAAGAGCAAGCTGCTGCGGCACCAGCAGGAGCATGCGGAGCGCGAGGCCAGGAGCCTCGGTGCAGGGGACAACCCGTCCAGTTGCCAGCAGTAGCTATGGCTGCTATGGAGCACAGGAAGGGGTTTATCCCCATGTGGAGAGACCAGAGGAGCCTCATCCTACCCCCAGGACCTGACTTTGGTGTTGCAAAGTGCCTTCTCCCCAGTGCACATCCAGGATTTGTGATCCCTGGGCTCCACACCCCTGTGGACATTGGAAAATCCCACCAGGGCACCTCATTTTCTCTTCAGGCCTTGGAATGTCCCTCCAGGGCACTTCCCAGTTCTGCCAGTCCCACCAGTGCTCTGCCCATGTGTGTGGAGTATCTCCTTGTGTGAATTTAAAGCCAAAGTGAGCGATGCGAGTGTGGGATCTGGTCTCTTGTGGTGCCACAGAAGAGCCTCGTCCTGTGTTGTTGTGGCAGCTCACAGCCAAAGCCCTTCACTTTTCCTCTTGGTCTCCCCCTGGTAGCGGGGCTGGGGACGTGGGGGGCCAAACACCACCAGACCCCATGCCGGAACCTGCCATGTTTCCAAGGCTCTCGAGGGAAAGGATGTTGCCTATGTTCAGAAGGCGGCTGTGCTGTGGTCCAGGGTTCTGGTGCCAGCATCACTGGCTGCATGGGGAGGAGGTGGGGGTGCCAGCAGGGTGGTGAACACCCAGCACAGAGTGTCATGGATCCCCCCGTTAGCACTCGGCACCTTTGATGGTTGTGCCCCAGGTTTTGGGGTGCAGCTCCCTTCTGAGGGGTGGAGGGTGATGTGCTGCGCTTCCCCTGTGGCCCCTGGGCTGGAAGCAGATTGCAGCGGTTGTGGCTGGAGGCTCTGGGTCTGTGTGCAGCTCACGCCATTCCCCCTCACTGGGTCAGCTGGTGGCTGTCGCTGCCTGGAAGGTGTCTATCCTGTGCTGCCACTGCTCTATAGAATCATCACAGAACCACAGAATGGTTTGAGTTGGAAGGGGCCCTAAAGCTCATCCAGTTCCAACCCCCTGCCATGGGCACGGACACCTTCCACTAGACCAGGTTGCTCCAAGCCCCGTCCAACCTGGCCTTGAACACTGCCAGGGATGGGGCAGCCACAGCTTCTCTGGGCAACCTGTGCCAGGGCCTCACCACCCTCACAGGGAAGAACTTCTTCCTCAGATCTCATCTAAATCTCCCCTCTGTCAGTTTAAAGCCATTCCCCCTTGTCCTGTCCCTACCTGCCCTTGTCAAAAGCCCATGGCAAGTCAACAGCAGCAATGGGGGGGTACAATCCCTGAGGTCCCTGGGTTGGTTTACCCCCATGTTGTGGCCATGAAGAATATCTCTGAAGTAAAAGCTGCCTTTCCAGAAAGTGGGTTTCCCAAACTGACACATTGTGCATCCCCATTGTCCTGTTGCTTGTCTGGGTGGGTACCCCTCGGCTTGTGAGCCCCAGTGTGGGGACCGTGGCTGGGTCTGGGACACTGAGGTGCCAGTGACATCAACACAGGCTGCTGACCCAGCAGGTCCTCCCTTGGGCACCGATGCCACTGGCTTCCCGGTCTCAGGTAAGCATTGGTGTGTCCTAAGTCCTGGAGCACCATGGTGTCCACAGTTCTTCGTAGGTTAATGAATCCCTTTGGCAGGAATGAAAATGGAGGGACAGCACAGGGGGAACAGCAACTCCTGGGTGGCCTCGGGCTGGGGGTGCTGGCAGTGGGGGGTTGCTCTCATCCTCTTCCACCTCCTTGCCTTCCTCTCCTGGTGCAGCACTGGCTGCCAGCCCAGCCTTGCCCAGGCACTGCTCAGGAAACCTGAATGCGTCCATTTTCAAGGGCTGATGGATGAGGTGCAGTTGGACTGGATGGTCGGTGGAGGTCCCCTTAGGCTGAAATTTTCACTTCCTTTTCCCCTTTCACCTTTCCCTTTTCCTTTTCTCTCCCTTTCCCTTCCATTTCTAATTCGGGATAACATCACTCTGCCCCACTCCCATCCCCTCCCTGCTGTTCCACACATTTGGGACTGATGGCTGCAGCTGTGCAGGTGGAGGAGGGAGGGAAAAATAAACATGTCCGTGTGGGACTGGTGCTGTCGTTCCTGTGTCCCAGTGCCAAGGTCTGGGATGGCCGATTCAAACATTGCCATCCTGCAGGGAATCCAAATCCATCTGGGAGGTGGTCTGTCCTACCACATCCCAATGTCCATGTGTCCTCATGTCGCTACATCCCTGTGTCCCTCATCCCACTGCAGTCCATCCCCCGTGGCTC